CAAGAAACATTTCATTACATTTTCCAGGGTTCCAACATTTCAAATTCACAAGTTTTCTGATTGTGTTTTCTCCATTTCTTGCTTGTTCTTACTTTGACATTCGGCTAGAGTGAATTGTGAATTCAGTCTTTCCTGCAGTTACTATTTCTCATTTCTCTTTGGGTTTCTAAAATGTTTCTACTCATGACTTTTCAAAATTGACATTTTCTGGACAATACACAATACAGGAAAAAGTTTTTAAAGGGACAAGAGCTTGGGAAGGAGGACAAAGGCAGTGCAGGGACCAACTCATTTCATTGCACTCAATGGCAAAAAAAAAAAAGAAGGAAAATTTAAGAATTCAAAATGTTGGAAAATTGACTTAACTTTTTAATACTGATGTCTGAAATATTATGCTCTAAGGACATTTCACAGACAAAATAGTTAAAAAAACACAAATCACACTGGGCCCTTTTGGGAAGGTACATGCTCTGTCACTTTCTATTTATCTGTTCACCACATTCCCATAGTTATTTTCCACTTGTGTACATTTTGCACATGCTCCCCTACAGTTACACTCTTATGTCAAATCCAGACCTAATCTGTATCAGTATTGCTTGATATTTATCATACCAAGTCAAACTGACCCCTCATCCTTTCATGTACCTATGGCTGATGAATGAGGAAGAAATACCAGGAGATGGTGAACCTGTGAAACATGATGCTGTACAGCATGTTTGCCACACACTGACTTTGAGGGACCACAGACTGAAACAGATGATGTTGCATCAGCACAAGAAGAGCTAAGAGGGACAAGGTAAACATCATAAATACAAGGACTGACAAAGATGTCATCCCCTTTCCCCAAGTTATCCACTTTTAAACATGACTTGCAAGGGGCATCCAAACATTGACCCAAGCAGAGAAAATAATGTCCCTTTAAAACTTGAAAAGAGAAGTACCCAGTGTTATCAAAGTTCTCACTGAGGATCATGAGCTCAGTGCTAGAAAAAAAACCCTAACAAAAAACACCCCAGCAGCATTTTCTTCCACTAAAACATTTTTTCAGTGAGTTAAGAACTCTACAGGTGTATAATGAATGCTGGTCAGTACTGGAGCAGCTGTTGATGCTCTGCCATGTATTACTCCAGGGTACTATAGGTAATAGAAACCTCTGCTACCACACTGATCTGGTTCGATGTAAATTCTGATTTCCCTTCTGTAATAATGTGTGCACTAATAGGCACTGTGCTTCCAGGAACCTCAAAGCATGCTTGTAATGAGAAAAAGCACCTAAAGAACCTTTCAGGTTGGGAAGCATTACTAGCACTCTGCAGACATGGAGTCCAAGTATAGGAGAACACGTGAATAAGGCAGATTGGGAATGTCCGACGTATTTTATGACAGTACTTGTTTGCAGTGGTGCTCTTTGTGCACTTCCTAACACGTGTAAATATGATGGGCTTATCCCTTGCTCCCAGTAAACAGGAATAAGCTACACTATACTTCTCGTGGGTAAAAGAAAACAGGAGAAGTTGAGGCATGCTGCACAGTCTTATTCTATCTTGTCTTGTGCTAAATTGTTTACATGCCTCATCTGGAGGCACAGAAAAAGTTACACCACTTGTCTGAGGTCATAAAGTACATGTTATCTTCTGAGAATCCCTCCTGGATCCGTGGCAACCTTTTGGCTACACTGTTCCCTTTATATTGGATTGCAGTTCAAGTGCCATTCAAATTTCACTAGTAGCATCCTTCTCTAACAAATCAGAATTACTTACCTGTAGTTTCCTACTTTTTAAAAAACAGATCATGATCTTAACCTTCTTTCATCAAAACAGGGGTTCTCCCTCCCCCCAGCAAATTCCTGTAGGATTCATGATGTGGATGTCATATCCGAGTTAATTTCTGCTTTCATCATGCAGTCAGCTTGAAAATGTAATGTGACAATTTGTCTTTGTGCTGTTATAGGTCAATAACAAAATCTGTTTAAATTGAGATAAATCTAAAAATTTTGTTTGATAAGAAAGCAAAAACCTACAAGAAGCTTTGGTGGAAGGGGGAAAATCTCAAATGACAAAGGCACAAGAAATGTTTGAATTATGTAAATCAAAGGCTTGTAATTGATATTGCATGTTAAAACACTTCAGTCAAATTGAAAAGGTTGAGGTGGATTCCATTAAAGGTTATCCATGTAGGCTGAAGCTTTATTTTCTTAATTTGAAGCTTTTCCTCTTATTGCTATGGAATAAAATTTCAGC